GAAAGAAGATATGGAAGATGAAATATCTCTAGAAGACTGGAACGAGGCATGTAGGAGAGCTCAGATACAGACAGTCAATAGTAGCCTGAAACTCGTACAGTACAAATGGTTAATGCGAACATACATAACTCCTGCTATATTGCACAAGTTTAATGATAATATTCCAGATACCTGTATAAAGTGCAATGAGGTAAGAGGAACACTTTATCACTGTATTTGGGAATGTGTGAAAGTGAAACCCTTTTGGCAAGATCTTATTGAAATAATTGACCAAATTTTATTAAAGAAATTACCATTGGATCCTAAGATTTTTATCCTGGGTATATTTCCTGTCAGCCCTCTCTTACAAAGCAAAGAGGTCAGATTCATAAACATGTGTATTTTACAAGCTAAACGTATTATTGCTCTTAATTGGAAAAATATAAATGAACCTAGAATAGGAAAGTGGATTAAAGAAATGGCATCTCATATGTCAATGGAAAAGATCACGTATATTATCAAAAAGAAACAAAATGTGTTTGAAGATACCTGGAGACCTTTTAATAACTTTCTAAAGTACAATGTAAATGTGGACAGTCTACTACAAATAGAACAGGCTTAGGAATATGGGAAGTATCATGGTCTAAACAGACTACCTGATTTAAACATATCCCCTCTTTTTTTTTTTTTTTTTTTTCTCTTTCCCCTTCTTATTATATTTTTTTAATTGTTTATTTATTTTTATTTTACTTATTTACTTATTATTGTTTATTTATTTATTTTTAAGGGAATGGGTTGTTGGGAGGGAGAATGGGGGGTAAAAAGTTTGCTGTGCCTTCATGATTATTGTTCTGTAATTGTGTAATCTGTTGTGATATGCAAATTGAAAAAAGTAATAAATATATTGTACAAAAAAAAAAAAATATATAAGTTCTTATATACAAACATAGTTAACCTGCAGTTCTATACGCTTATTTCACATGGCCGCCGTTTTAAAGCACCAAAGCGAGGCTGCGGTGGGTAGAAACCCGGAAGTATAGGACAAGCACTGTAAACATTGCAGTAACATGCCGTGTACTACAAACCTCCAGCTGTTGCCGAGATTTCAAAATGCAGAAAATGGTGTAACCATCACTTTAATATTATATGGTAAGTTTATTTTAAACAATTAAAAGCAATTTAGTATCAAACAACATCACAATCTCAGTGATACGCTTAAGTGTCCTCCTGGGCTTCAGTTTATGGCACCAGTTAAACACCGTGAGGAAGCTTTCCTGCTTCAGTCTATGTAACCTGGTGAGTGATAAAACACTGCAGTCCTCTGCAGCACACCCTCTTGTAGTCTGTGATAGTGTTGTCCTGGTACTGAAGTTTTAAACCCGGCTATTTCCCCGCTAACATGGAAGCGCTGCTGAGCGCGGATGTCTCGACACGACTGATCTTCACGGCTTCGCGCTTCAGTCTCCGTGTATCTGTGTTTGGTTTTCACTCAGTTTACCGCTCTTCACCCAGTGCAAACACAGATACACAGACTGGAGCGCAAAGCAGCCGTCAAGATCAGTCGAGTCATCAAGCAGATCGCTTAGCATGTCTGTGTTTGTGCTCAGTATACAGCAGTGGGTAAACTGATGATCTTCTCGGTCAATCACAATCATTTCTGTTGAACACGTGAACACAATGGCAAATCAGCGCTGTTTTAAGAAAGCCATCAACATTGCCTTAAATGTTAGCGCGAAATTGCCAGTTTTTCTTTTAATTTAGTATCGTCTATCGTGACAAGTCTAATATAGTGAAAGAATCAGTTTATTAACTCGAGTTTGATAAATGGCATCTAAAACATGTGTTTGGGAAAGAAAACGTTAGCTAACTAGTGCCATTTTCCTTAACTTAGCTGAAAATAAGGTCTGATATCCCTTTTTACATTCAACATTCATTCAGAACGGACCTTCGGGTCAACCGGAAGGCGGAGAAATGATAAATTTGTGTCACTTTATCTTCGCTGATAAGATATATAGCCAGTTACACAACATTCCTATGTAACTCCCTATGATACTTCCGGTTTTCTTCCGACCGCAGCCTCGATTTCGCTTTTGAAAATGGTGGCCGCGTGAAATCAGTCCATTGACCTTATTCTGCGACGCGGAAATGTGTTTGTTTTTGCGATTGTCTTAGAACTTCCGTTTCAGTCACCTAGGAGAGAAATGAGTAGGAATAAGAAACTACTTGCTTTACAAACCAGTGTGTTCATGACTATACAGACAAAGCAGAATAAAATAATAAAGAAAACATCAGTTTGCAACATCAAGCAGCATAACATCCAAAAATAAATGGAAGTGAATGAGAGCGGTCTCGAGCCAAAGTATTCAAATGGCTGCTCCTGCTCATACGTGGGGAATAAGGTGAATAGTATATAGGTGATGCCTATGTGTACATGTTTAATGAAGTGGATTCAGTGTATGTGTTGTCCTCGATGTCTTCGATGGTTTGCATCGTCTCTTCACAGGTCTTGGATCCCATCAGTGTCACTGCACAATCTCTAGAGGCCTCAGAATAAGTATCCCTAGGTGGAAATAGTGAACACAGAAAATAATTAGCGTAGCTACTGTTCATATTCTATTTGAGCAAGAGATATTAAATATCAATTTGAAAATGAAGTGCTATCAAATAAAATAATAATTAAATTACCAAACATATAAAGCATACAGTATTTCTAACAAAATTCCTAGTGCATTAAGACAGGAGGAGTGTCCTACAGGTGGTTTGTCAAGCCCACTCACCTGCATGGAGCCCGCTAATCATACCGTTGTGTAATGTTTTGTGTGTATGCTTTACTAACATTATCTTTAGTCTTTAATCTAGTTTAGAACTGAAAGAATGTGTCTGAGTTTTGAACTGAGAGTGTGTGTCTGAGCCTCAGACATTATTAGGAAAGCTATTCCAGAGTTTAGGAACCATATATAAGAAGGCTTGACCTCCTTTAGTAAATTTTGCTATTCTGGGTACTACCAGAAGCCCTGAGATTTGAGGTCTTAAAGAGCGGGTTGGATTGTAGCAAGTTGGAAGCTTGGTTAAATAAACAGAAGCTAGATTATTGAAAGTTTATAATAATGTAAATAATCTGCTTATAAATAATCTGCCAATGTGGTAAGCAAAACAGTCGAAATATTTTTTTTTCCTTTTGACATAAGATTATTTTGCTTACCGCATTGGCAAATTATTTAGCTTGTTTTTGAGAAAAACTCGCCTAATTTTGACATTATTTTCTAAAACAAGTCAGTATTTTTTGCTTGTCTAGAAAATGTCTGATTAGATTTTTTTATTCAATTCAATTCAGCTTTATTTGTACAGCGCTTTTACAATGTGGATTGTGTCAAAGCAGCTTCACATAAATGGTCATAGTAACTGGAACAGTGTAGTTCAGTTTTTAGTGTTTAAGTTCAGTTCAGTTCAGTTTAGCTCAGTTCAGTGTGATTTAAAATCATTACTGAGAGTCCAAACGCTGAAGAGCAAATTCATTGATGCGTAGCTCTACCAATCCTGTACCAAGCGAGCCAGTGGCGACAGCGGAGAGGGAAAAAAAACTTCACCTGATAGGGGAGTGAGGAAAAAAAACCTTGAGAGAACCAGACTCAGTTCGACACGACCATTTTAATTTCTCCGCTGGCCAAAAGTCTTGTGCAGAGCTTCAGTCACCGCAGTGGAGGCTGTTTATGTATTTAAAAAAAATAAACAAGACAAAAAAAAGTTTGTTTTTTTTTGCAGTGCAAATTAGACACTTCGGAAATTTTAAGTCAAATACATAAAGTTTGACAGTTGCTAATGACACTACATTTCCAAGTTTTGAATGATTAGATTTTAAAGAAATGTTTTTAAGGACGTGTTAATGCTTTATAAAAACAAAGTTCTAAATGCTAAATCAAATGCATCATTACAGCAGTCTGCAACATTACACAGTCCTTCAGAAATCATTATGTCATGCTCAATTATTATCAGTATTGCAGGTTCTCAAAGGTTTCGTTGGTTATTGTCACTGTTAAATGTTTTTTGCCGCTTAATATTTAAAAAAAATGTTTTTAAACCTGTCTGCTAAACATATTTATAATACAAAATAAAAATGTATGAAATCTGCATGGTTTAACGTTATTGTATTTTATACAATAATACATTATCACAGTATATTAATTAAAGGGATAGTTCACCTAAAAAGGTCAATTTACTCACTATTTTCTCTCTCTCAAGCGCTTCCAAACTTGCCCGACTTTCTTTCTTCTGTTAAACACAAAAAGATATTTTGAATAAAGTTGAAAACCTGTAACCATTGACTTCCATAGTAGAAAAAAAATATATATATATTATAGCGCTCAATGGTTACTGGTTTTCATCTTACTTCAAAACACCTTCTTATGGCAACAGAATAAAGTGAGTCTGACCTATAATGGCCCTTTTTACAAGATATAAAATAAGTCTGATGTCCCTAAAGTGTTAATGTGAAGTTCCAGCATAAAATACCCCACAAATAATGTTGTATAACTCTTTGAAACTGCGTCTTTTAGGCTTTGGTCCTAATTGTGCCATTTTGGTGATTGTCGCTTTAAATTCAAATGAGATTATGCTCGTTTCAAAAGAGGGCGGAGCTACAAATGCCTACATGTCAGCATAGTGGCAGATTCAAAACAAGACTAACCTTCTATGCTAATGAGGGAGAGATTGTCACTAATGGTGACCTCTGATGGCACATTGAAATGAAGAATGTCAATTGAAGTGTTTCTGCAGACTGTTTTTATTAAGTGTGATTATAATAAATCTAATTAATAAACATTTACCATTAGAAGCTGGTTGCCACACAACTGTATTTAAAGCCCTTATAAAAGTGTTTTTTGTGACTTCATTGAGAATTAAAAAGTATATCTATTTCTATCTTTTAACTGCTAGTGTTGATGTTTTCTCTTGATGTGTTTGTTTCAGAAGAACCCCTGTCATTGTGTTTATATGAGGTTGTTTATCTGTATGTATCTGCACAGATGTGGTCTGGCTCTGCAGATCTCGGACGTGAAGCAGCTCTGCTTGACAATGGGAGATGTAACTGTTCCTCTGCCCTCTGAAGTGAAGGCCATCGGCTCCGAGTCTGAACAAGTGCTGCCTCTAGAAGAGCTGGCCTGCAGGGTCTTGCACGCGGCCTACGACTGGACCTGTAAAGGCAAGAATCACAAAAACAAGGCTATGACAACACTTCAGTTCCTTTACATGCACAAGCCAAAGTTTTTATACACATCTTTAAACTGTTGTCTCGGTTATAGTTTGGTCAAAGTCCCTTTAAGGCAAGTCATTTCACTAGGTGGCCATCTCGGGCAGTTTGTCTGAATGTGGAAACATCAAATTCTCCAAAACTGTTTGCCAAGCTTACTATTACATAATATACTTTGAATAATTAATAAAATTAAACAACGTTTTAAAAGCTTCGTTTCTAAACATTAAAATCAAACAAAATGAGCATTTTTTCAGGATTCCCAACCTAATGTGCACTCAAACGGAACGAGATCATGACAGCAACCTCATTTATGATCGTTCTACACAGTATCATCCTCTAAAATATGCTTCATCAGATCACGCAGGTCTTCTGAGATAATCCACAACTTGGTCTGAATGGCGAATCTCCTCCAAAAAAAAAAACAGCGTATCTTTATTTATACGAGTAAGTGGGACCTTTGAGTAGTTGCTGTCATGTGATGTGCGTTTGACTGGAAGAACATCCACCTGTCTTCACATATAATCTTGTCTAATATATATATATATATATATATATCCGCACCGATCATCACTTTAACAATTCTAATTCTTTGTTTTAAGTATGATGATAGGTCAGCGTGGATCGTTCGTTATTAACAGATTCAGTGTGCTAACATGCGCATCTTTGATAGTAAAATAATACGCTAATCGTGAACTGTTTTAAATAAAAATTTATTTATAAAAATAAGCATTTGTTACAGCAAAAAAAAGGGAATGTTGGGATGATTCTAAGGGCCCCCGCACTTTGGGGGCCCCCAGAGATGTTATTAGGGGCCCACATCAACAAAAATCGCAAACCATACTATACCACTTTTTTGGGACCCTTTCATACAGGTGAATGGCATAATAGCAGGATACCAAAAGGGCAGAACTACGGACAGAAGAATGTTGAAAAAAATCAGCCATTGACCTCCATAGTATCTTGTTTTGTCTGCTATGGGTTATAGCCATTTTCCAAAGCAACTTATAATTGAGTAGGCATTCAGCAATTCAACAAAAAGAGGCAATACACACAAGAAGAGCTAATTATACAAAGGAACTATTAATGCTCTGCGTAGATAATTAAGTGCTTGAGTAAGGGGGAGTGTTTTGTTTTTTTATTGAGAGAAGAAGGTTTCTTTAGATGGTTTGTCAAGCACACTTTGTAAATGCACAATGGGGGTGGGGGGGGGGGTTGAGATATGGAGTGATTGTAAGAAAGTGTCTGGTGCAAAGCTGGTGCAAGTCGATGTTGATGGCTGCTTTTTTTCCAAAATTCTTCATAATATCTTTAAATTCAAATGAGATTGCTCTTTTCAAAAGAGGGCGGGGCTACAAATGCCGATGTGCCAGTATAGTGGCAGATTCAAAAACAAAACTAACCTATGCTAATGAGGGAGAGATCACTAATGGCTTCCCCCCTCTGAGGACACATACAAAGGAAGATTGCCAATCAAAGTGTTTCTGCAGACTATCAAGTGTGATTATAACAAATTAAAATAATACATTTTTACCATTAGAAGCTGGTTATATTCACTGACTGTTGCCACATAAAAAAATCATAATGCATAATCTGTCCCTTTTAAAATGCTTTCCTTCTCTGTCTGGTGTGCAGATGTGAAGCTCCGAACTCCATTCCTGATGCCCAAGAGTCTGCTAGATGTGGTTCAGTGGCCTCTGGGTCACTGTCACCGCTGCAGTCAGCCCATGTTCACCATCATCTACCCCAAACTCTTCCCTCTCAGAGAAACCGCCCTCGCTGGAGTGCACAGGAGGTACTCTTAAGAACACACCACACTGTAGTAGTACTGTTATATTCCCTATTATATTCAGTTGAAGTCAGAATTATTTAGCCTCCAGTGATTTTTTTTTCTTTCTTCTTTTTCAAACATTTCCTAAATAGTGTTTAACAGAGCAAGCAATTGTTCACAGTATTTCCTATAATTGTTTTTTCTTCTGGACAAAGTCTTGTTTGTTTTATTTTGACTAGAATAAAAGCATTTTTAATTTTTTATGCCATTTTAAGGTCAGTATTATTAATCATCTTAAGCAATATTTCTTTTCAATTGTTTACAGAACAAACCATCATCATACAATGCTTTGCCCAATTACCCTAATTAACCTAGTGAAGCCTTTAAATGTCACTAAGCTGAATACTAGCATCTTAGAAAATATCTAGTAAAATATTATGCTGTATGTTAAGTTTGTATGCACTACATTTAGTTTTAATTCATTTTTTTATTTTTGTTTGAATTGTGTTTTTGTTTTTTTTTAAATTGAGGTCAATTTATAATTTATCTTAAACCATACAATTTTTTTCTGACCTTTTGATTACACACCACTTTAATGTGAAAAAAGAAAAGAACATCTATTTCAAGCAAAGCATATTTTCTGTAATGCTGTACTTTTTAAAGTATGTATAATTTTCTTGCTCTAAAAATTAATACTTTTATCAAGTAAATGACAGCAAAATAAATAACTCATTTTATTTGAGACTTTTTGTCAAATTTTTATAAAGATTTCCACAAGCATAATTTGAAGCACTACTGTTTTTACAGCAGTTACGATAACAATAATAATAGATATGTTTATTTAATATTAAATCAGCGTATTCAAATGACTTCTGAAGGATCAGGTGAGTAATGATGCTAAAAAAACGCAGCTTTGATTTTAAATAATTATACAAATACAGTATAACAAAATGGAAACATTTCTTTTTAATTGTAATAATATTTCATTTAATGTCTATTTTTTATGTTACATTTGATCAACACAGCCTAAAAGCGTTGATTGAATGCATTGATCACATGCTTAAAATGCAGATTTGCCAAGCATAAAAAATGATCAGAAACATAAAAAAAGTCTTACAGATCCCAGACTTGAATGGTTTTTAATGTTCCTTTAAATGCATTTATTGTGGGATACTATTTATACTTTGGTTGCACTTTGGTTGCAAAAATGTTCTCTCTGTTTATTAGAAATTGAGGAAAAAATAAACAGGGGGGCTAATAATTCAGAGGGGCTAATAATTTTGACTTCAACTGTGTGTCAACACATACAATTATACATATATTATTATATTTATTATATAAAATGCTTATTTATTTACCAGATATATGCATATTTATGTGCCAAATGCACACTCAGTTATTTTGCATTCAGAAACACTCTCTGCTCATTCTCTTTGTTTTCCCTGTTGACCTGTGTCACTTCCTCTATCTCCTCATCTTACCGCTCGTGCGATTGGCTGAAATGAGCTGTGCTTTACTCCTCTGGCCGTCATGTTCCATCTATAATGCAACGCTGTGGTTTTGCTCTCAACGTTCAGCAGCGTAACCCAATCATCCTGCTGCACTGCTGCTCTCAGCTACTTCACGTGCATTAAGAGATCTAATCCACTTCACAATTACCTCTCACACCCACTGCTGTTTTAAAGAGAGAGAGAGGGAGAGAGAGAGAAGCTATTTGTTTAACGGATGCTTTTCTATTTGCTTCTTTATGCTCTGTGTTTTCAGTCTCAGGTCATCTGGTTAGCCGTGTTTGTGTGTTTTCTGGAAGCACGACTGGGAAGTCTTATTGTTTCAATATTACTTCATTGAGCAGTCATGAAAAAGCATATTGTAGGAGTTAAAATGACCTGTGTTTATATGTGCTCGCATTAATTAGCATATTCTGATGAGCACATGACTAAAGCACATAAAAGGGGCTTCAAACCATCGACTTTTTGTCAGATAGCTTTGTTTAATGTCTGCATGAACTGGAAGCTGCGACCGTTTATTTTTTTATATTGTGAAAGTTCCTAGAGAAACAGAATATTAAAGAATGAAACAGTAGGCATAGTTTTTTTTTTTTCCACTGTGAGCTGATTGGATGTAGTTTCATTCAGAAAGATTGGGAAAAGAGTTTCGGGAGAGTTATTAAATCCTAACAGACACCTCCTCCTCACCATTTGTTTGTTTTCATAGCGCTGACAGTTGGAGGGGCTTGGTTAAGTATGTTAGCCACACCCAATACCTCAGACAGATGTAATCTGAGAATTGGGCTCTATTTTATTGATCTAGACCCAAAATCTGAAGCTCGTGGCACAAAAAAGAATTAAGGGTGTTTTAGAATCCACTTTTGCTATTTTATGGCGGTAAAATACGCTCTGCGCCCTGGCACATGGTCTAACAGGGTTGTGCTTATTCTCTTAATGAGTTATGGGTGTGTTTTGAGCATAACCTTCATTAAACCAATCAGAGTCTCATCTCCCATTCCCTTTAAGAGTCAGTTGCATTGCACCATGACACGTTTGCTATTTATAGGGCGGATTTTGTAAGTGGGAAAACTTAACGCTTCACTAGTGAGTTAAACAGTTTAACAGACTGTCTGCAGGGAGATGATAAAGAATGAGCCTCCTCCATTCGGCCTCTTTACTTTCTCTTTACTTTTACTCTTTACTCCTTTACTTTAGTGGAGTAAGGAAACGGTGTTGCACACACACTCCACTGAAGACATTCATTAGCTTACATTTTTAATTTAGTTTGTTAAGCACAAAGACTTGTTTCAAAACTATTTCTAAATTCCGTTCTGATTTCCAGCAAACGAGTAAATGAACAATAATAACCAAGTGTGGTCAAAAACGGGGATATATCCAATCACACGTCCTATTCTTATGCCCCATATGGTGATGAAGACATCTCCAAACCCCGACAGGTGGACAAATCTAAACTTGTTTTAATTAAAACAAATATAAATGTGCATATAATAAATAATACTGATGATGATAATAACATTATACAAATGCTAATTATCATGAATAAACTGAAAAAGCCCCCCGAGTTAAAGAAGGCATGGAGGAAGCGGTTTTTATATTCATGTAGTAAATAATAATTTTTTTACATTTTAATCCTTTATTTGTTTTCATATGTAAAGATATTTGTGTATTGCTGTATATCCTGTGTGTATTAAGCAATGTGTAAGCTTTGAACCTGCATAGGTGCATAACTAATGCGCTCTACTTTTGGGCAGCTTTTAGTTGGCCAATGGCGCGGTCTATTTCAAATAGCAACAGACCAACAATGCACACTAATGCACCTCCTTTTTCAGACCAGCACACCCAAAGTGGCGTAAATGGATTTGCTATTTAAACAACATGGCACAAAACGGGAAAATTACAGTTGTGCTGGTCTGAAAATTGCAACAAATCGCGTCATGCATGTATTGCGCCAAGAGTATGATAGAGCCTGCTAACTGAAAATGAACAGCAAGTGCATTTTCAGATTTCAATTTTAGATTAAAATGGCAAACCTTTTTTTTTCTTAATGCCATGCACAGATTAAATGTTCACCACAAATCTAGCAACGTGAGCTAACAAAACCATCGTGTTAGTTTTGATTTTATGTGTACTTTGAAAGTGCAATATTGCCTTCAGTAAGCAATGTCTCTTCACATCCTGATCACAATCATTAAATTAAGTATTACCAATGTATTTATATTCGGGTTGTCAACAATATGACATTGGTCAATCAGCTGTGTTTCAGAATGCACTCTAATGATAGCAGGAAATTGACTTTTTATTTTATTATTTATTTTTTTGGTACAAATAGCTACTGAAGTTAACTAAGCTTAAAGGACTCATTTTTTAAAACAAGTCTTTTCTGCACAACAAGCTTGGATTTATGTGATCCAAAGTACAGCAAAAAACATGTGAAATTATTTTCTTCAAAAATAACTGTTTTCTATTTAGATTTATTTTGAATTATCTATTTCTGTGATTTCAAAGCTGAATTTTTAGCATGATTACTCCAGTCATTCTAATAGTCTGATTCTGAAAAATGTAATCCCATTAAAAGTGCTCAAAACATACAAATGTCTACAATGCAATATTTCTTCAAGTAGTTAAATGTTTTAAAAACAATTGTTTAATAATAATAATAGTTTTCAGACTTCTTTAAATCAGGGCCTTTAACAAAGAACATTTAGTCACACTTTACAATAAGGCTTCATTAGTTAATGTTAATGTAATTACTAATGTGAAGTAAAAATACTTTTACATCACTTATTAATCATAGTTCAACATTTACTAATGCATCATTAGAATTCATGCTTGTTAACATTATTTAATGCATCATGAGTTAACATGAACTAACAATAAACAAGTGCTCTTTCATGAACTAATGTTAGCAAAGATGAATAAATACTGCAATAAATGTGTCTGTGTTAATTTTATTAAATACATTAACTAATACACTAATACACCCTTATTGTAAAGTGTTACCGAAAATTTGCATAAAAATGGCTGGGTAAAAACTTGGGTCAAGTGATGTGTGCATATAATCAATCATAAGTAGCTTTTCTCTCTCGCTTGTCTCACCCAGAAGCACAGTGAGTTTTGTAGCGTACTGCTGCTCCAGCCGGTGTATGAGCACGTTTGACCTGCAGGCCTGACGATGGGCCTTCATCAACACTCATCGGCTTTTATCTTCACTGAGGGCTTGAAGAAGCTCTCACCCGAAGGACAGACAGACAGACAGACAGAGAAAACTGACACCTGTCTGAGCTTCAGAAACACACCCCACTGTCCAGCATCCTGAGGAACAAAAACCAGCATTCGGGTAAACCCAATGACATTTCACAAATGAATGTAGGATGAGAGTCAAGGTATTGTTTGTTTTGGGATGATTACGGTTTACTGTAATCAAAAGGTTGCATACTGCATAATTTATTCTGTGTTTCAGAGTTGTGCTGTTCAATAGTTAATCATGACTTACTGCGTACAAATGAAGAGTTTGTGTTTACATGTGTAAATGTGTGTATGTTTATTATGCATATAGACATGGAAACATTCATGTACACTGTAAAAACAAAAAGTTGACTCAACCTAAAGTTTTGAGGCTACAAACTTCAGGACGTTTTTGAGTTGACTCAACTTTCAACCCAATTACTTCACTTGACTCGATTTAAGTTGAGTAAACTCAAAAATGTCCTGAAGTTGAAGTTGCCTTTAAATTTTAAGTTGAGTCAAACTTTTTTTAAACTTTTTTTTACAGTGTACATACTTTGCCTATATTTATAATTTATATATGTACTGTATATAGACATGGACACACATTCATGTATATAATTTGCATATATTTATACATCATTTTGTAATATATACATTTTTCATGTATTAATGTTCTATATTCTATTCTAAATTCTTTATGTATACATGGATGTGCAGTACACACAAAATTATTACGTAAACGCAAACTTCATTTTGTATGCAATTAGACACGATTAATCGTTAAACGGCAGAGAAACAAAATGCTCATTCAGATAGGATTGTTTTGGGATTATTATGTAACCAAAAAGTTGCGTACTCTATTATTTATTCTCTGTTTCAGAGCTGTGCTGTTCAATAGTTCATCGCGACTAACTGCATACAAATAAAAAAGTTTGTATTTACATGATATATGTGCATTTACTGTGTATATTAATTATGTACATAGAAATGCACACACATACATGTATATGTTTGAATATATTTACATATATAAATATAATATTCTAAGCGTATACATGGATGTGCAGTACACACAAAATTATATTGTAAACGCAAACTTAATTTAGTATGCGATTAGCGTCGATTAATCATTCAACAGCAGAGAAACAGAATGCTCATATATTATTTTGGAATTATTACGGTAAAAAGTTGCATACTGTATTATTTATTCTGTGTTTCAGAGTAGTGCCGTTCAATAGATAATCATGACTAACTGCATACAAATTAAAAGTTAGTATTTACATAATATATGTGCATTGACTGTGTATATTGATTATGTATAGAAATGCACATGTATACTTGTATATACTTTACATATATTTACATATAATATAATATATATGAATATTTCATGCATTAATGTTTAATAAAAATGATATGCATATACTTTATTACGTAAACGCAAACTTCATTTTGTGTGTGATTAGTCACGAGTAATCGTTAAACAGCAGAGGATAAAAATGCTCAGTATTAGGGTTATTTTGGGAATTATTATGATTTATCCTGTGTTGAGCGTAGTGCTGTTCAATAGTTAATCGTGAATTACTGCATACAATTTAAAAGTTTGTATATACATTTGTAAATATGTGTGTATATTTATGCATATAGACATGGACACACATTCATGTATATACTTTGCATATATTTATAAATAATTTTGTCAGATAAATATTTAATGTATTAATATTTTGTAAAAAAAAAAAATCTATATGTATGGATGTGCAGTACACACAAAATTATTACATAAATGCAAACTTCATTTTGTGTGCAATTAGACACAATTAATCGTTAAATGTCAGAGAAACAAAACTCTTATTCAGATAGGATTGTTTTGGGATTATCATGGTTTACTGTAACCAGAAAGTTGCGAACTCTATCATTTATTCTCTGTTTCAGAGTAGTGCTGTTCAATAGATAATCATGGCTTTGCCATTGCGTTCACGTGCTCAACAAAAATGACTGTGATTGGCCGTGAAGGTCATCAATTCACCAAACTCACCTAAGTGTAGATAAAGAAATACTGCGTTTTAAAGCCGCAAAGATCAGCTGGTCTGTCTATAAGCTGACAGATCCACTGATGAATCGACTGATCTTCACAGCTTTAAAATGCTCCAGTGTCCCTGTATCTGTGGTTACACACAGTAAACAGAAGTGAGTTTGGTGAACTGATGACCTTCACGGCCAATCACAGTCATTTCTGTTGAGCACATGAACACAATGGCAAAGCTGCGCTGTTTAAGAACGTGCTCAGTAGCGCTCAAATGTTAGTGGGAAATGGAGGTTTTAAAATTTTAGTAGCGATTGGGATCAAATTTGCTGTAACACTGACTAAAATGTTTTATTAGTTATATTATTATTTTATTATATTGTTGATATATATAATTTATGTATGAATATAAATAAAAATTGTGCATATATTTATATACACACACACACATTTTATTTTGTACTGTATGTGATTAGTCATGATTATTCACTAAACAACACTATTTCAGAAGAGTTGTAGGTACTGTAAGATATGAATATTCTGCATTGTTGTCTTTAAAAGAGTGGCTTATGATATGCAAATTCATATCTCACTAGCGTTTTAAACCATGATCCAAGACTTTCCTCTAAAAGTGTCTTTTTTTTTAATTGTCATTTCAATCTGAGGCTCAAAGAAAGGTGTGTGTGTGCTGTTATAAGAAAATCAAGTGTGTTGTTGTATGTTCTGGGTTTTCCCTAAAGCTCTGACTGCAGACTATATGAAGTGCCAATTGTCTTTTATGAATAATTGATTGTTGTCATTGAGGGCAGCTTGGAGGATAGCGCTATTTTTGTGAAAGATGATATTTTCAGAAGACATGAATTGTGGACATTTGCTGGTGTTACACTACAGCTGTGGGTGAGTGTGTCATACAGTCAGTATATATCAGCATTCTTTCACTGTCTAATATCCTTTGTCCCCTTTAAAAGACACGAGGAGGACATCATTGCCTAATGAATATGTCTGGATGTTGCAGTTTTGCTAAATTAAGTGAGACAGGTCTTCAAAACCTTTCTGCATTATTTTTAAAATGTTCACAATGTTATTCCTGTTTCAGTTTTGCCAATTAATACTGGATAATTGTGCTCTTGTTTGAATGCTTGGCAATAATAACAATGTTCCAAACATCACCTGTGTTTTTTTTATTTTCATTTCTAATGTGCGCAGAGTTTAATTTAATTCATATTGAAGGGTTAGTTCACCATAAAAATGACATTTCTGGTATTAATTACTGACCCTCATGTTGTTGCTAAATCATCTGAGGCCTTGGTTCATCTTCAGAACTCAAGATATTTTAGATGAAATCCTATGAATTGAGTGTCTTTCTCTCTCCTCAGCCTGTATGAAGCTGTGATCCTGCATTGTCATTGCCTTCACTGAGGCTGTGCTGTTCAGTCTTTAGACAGCTCATAAATCAGCCTGAATGAAGCTTGTCTTATACCATATTTCTCTGTCTCAGACTCTAGATTTCCCCCTGACAGGCCAACAGATGTCTCTCCTGCCTACTCTTCATCTTCTCAACAGAATCTCCAGGATGAGGTTTTTTTTTGGTCATCTGATGTAGATACATTTTTGATTATTAGTACCAATTCTCCTTTCGACAATAAAGAAACACAGAAATACATTTATTACTGTTATTTTAATAATATAGTAAAATAATGTATCTATTATCTTCATGTTTATGTCCTAAAAGGGTTCATTTATATTTTATACACAAATGTGGTTTTTATTTAGTGCTTGGCAAGTGCTCAAAACATTTGGTTCTATAATTCATACACAAATTAATTAAATATGTCTTGATTTAATACATCTATAAAATATAATAATAGCCTCGGCTGGCTCAGTTGGCGTTTCTGTGTGGAGTTTGCATGTTCTCCCTGTGTTTGCGTTCGCGTGGGTTTCCTCCGGGTGCTCCGGTTTCCCCCACAGTCCAAAGACATGCGGTACACGTGAATCGGGTAGGCTAAATTGTCCGTAGTGTATGAGTGTGTGTGTGTGGTGTGTGTGAATGTTTCCCAGAGATGGGTTGCGGCTGGAAGGGCATCCGCTGCGTAAAAATGTGCTGGATAAGTTTGCGGTTCATTCCGCTGTGGCGACCCCGGATTAATAAAAGAACTCAGCTTAAAACGACATTTAAAGGCTGAACTGGGTTAATTTGGTTAACTAGGCAGGTTAGGGTAATTAGGCAAGTTGTATTATGATGATTTGTTCTGTAGATTATCGAGAAAAAAAATAGCTTAAAGGGGCTAATAATTTTGTCCTTAAAATGGTTTTAAATAATCAAAAACTCCTTTTTTCTAGCTGAAATGAAACAAATAAGACTTTCTACAGAAGAAAAAATATTCTCAGACATACTGTGAACATTTCCTTGCTCTGTTAAACATCATTTAGAAAATATTTAAGAAAGAAATGCTAATAATTCTGACTTCAACAGTATATATATATATATATATATATATATATATATATATATATATATATATATATATATATAGATATAGATATATATATATTTATTTTTTTCTTTATTAATTGAGAGAGAGAGAGAGAGAGAGCGAGCGCTCTCTCTCTGTCTCTCTCTGTGTGTGTATATATATATATATATATTTATCTCTCGAGAGAGAGAGAGAGAGAGTGTGTGTGTGTGTGTGTGAAAAAAAAAAAAGAGCGCGAGCGCGCGTTTTTTTTTTTTTTTTTTTTTTACAAAAAAAAA